TGGATTTGGGAGTCATTGGGATATACCTGATATCCAAAATGTGGAGGCCTGGGGAGCTCACTCATGAGAGAGAGAGAGAGAGAGAGAGAGAGAGAGAGAGAGAGAGAGAGAGACAGAGACAGAGACAGAGACAAAGAGAGAGACAGAGAGACAGAGAGACAGAGACAGAGAGAGAGAAGTCCAAAGACTAAGCTTCTTTTTAAGTGGAATAAACATGTACTGAAGGAAATGTCCTAAACTTGGATGGTAGTGTGAATGACTCTGTAAATACCCTAAAAAATTCATTGAATTTTAAGACAAGTAATGTGTAAATCGTGCCTCAATCTAACAGCCTCAGCTGTTTAAGAAGACGTCCATGGGAAAACTGGAGTGATTGTGATTGACAGTAACTAGCCAAGGATCAGTGCTAAGGGTAAGAGGGAGAAGTCTGGGGCTCCCGGCAAGCAATTTACCGTAATTCTCACTCTTCTTGACCTCATTTGTATCGTTGTTTAATTGTATATTTCGTAGCTATAAGGTAAACTGATGAGATTAAAAGTGTATTAGTTGTATTTTCCTGAAGTGTATTTATTGTTATTGTGGAAACAGGATCTTATATAGTTCAGTCTGGCTCAAAACTTGCCTTGTAGCTGAAGATGGCCTTAATGGCTCTATCCCTATCTCTAGAGAGCTTGAAAAGCACCCACTTTGAAATTGCTCATAACCCAAATCAAAACCTTGTCCTTCTATTGTTATTGTTATTACCTTTTGGGGGGTGGGGAGATGAATAACCTTGAAATTTTACCAGCTAGAGTTCACTCAGTCTGCAGCAACTCACAATGTCCAGAGTAGGGAGGCCCTCAAAAAGGAAGAGGCGATTTTACACGAAAGAGTCTTTTCTAACAGAGTTCTGCAGATTCGGTGACCGAAGATATAGTCACCCCCGTTTCTGCTCACTCTGGGGCACACCTAGCGGTAGTGGTGACAGTCTTTGAAATAAAGGAAGAACACAATACTTTATTTTTAAAAATCCTGTTCCTTTCCCTGTCTAAGCGAAAGCCTCAGTAGGTAAACCACGCTTTACGTGCCCTGTAGCTGGCAGAGGGACACTGGCCAGTGTCTGTCTTTGAACTCAAGAGCTCTTGGAACCTTATGCGAAGCAGCACAGGCTTTGAGGCACTGACTCGGAAGTGGGAGCCGTGGCTTTCAAGGGTGTGGTACGTGAGAAACTCGTGAAGGCACCTCTACCAAAGTGCATTTGATAAAGGAGGATTAAAGAGAAGCAAACACGATCCTCGGGCTCAGAGGGGGAACGTATTACCGCACATGTTTAGTCATGCACGGAATGATGTCAAACCCGGAAGCCCATAAAGGGAAACCGGAAAATGAACTTAAAACATTGAGACACACAACTGAACAAGTAAGGAAACAGTATATCCTAGGGGGCAACGTTTGTCACAAGAAATTCACAAGGACTTTCTCATCTTCTACCAGATTGTGAGAGCCGCTGTGGTCCCTTCACTTTTGTTCTTTCTATGTAGCCCAGGCTAGACCGAAACTTGCTATGTAGCCTCAAGCTTGGGCCTCAGCCCCTTAGGACTGGGATTGTAGGCATGTGGCACTGTGCGCCACTGTGCATAGCTTCAATGTGGTTCTTGTATATGTGAAAAGTGAGTTAAAGATGTAAAGCAGGAACTGGGTAAAAATACTTGTATTTTGGTAGATTCACTTTTGGAACCTAACGTTCTCTACTGTATTAGGAGGAAAATTTCATTTGCTTTAGTACTGCAACAGCTCAAAATTTTCTAATATATATGGTTTATCTGAGTAGAAGAAACCTTAATTGACTAATCTATGAGTCACAGGAACTTTAAAAAATTAGTTTGCTTATATTACCTTGTGTTACAAGTCACAACTTTGAAGAAAACCTCCGTAAAGGACTTGAAAACAAAATGATACACACTGGACACAGATCCTGTCTCCATTAGTTTAGGAAGTTCATGTTGAATTAGAGCTTGTCCTAAAGCTACAAAGGTGAGGCCTGGGGTTCGGGGTGACGCATAATGGGTAGGGTGGTGCTGTGGGAGCCTTGGGGATGGGCTGGCCAGTGATGGAAGAGAGAGAAAGCAGTGAGCTGGGTGTTGGGTGGTCGTATGTTCTGGGAGGTGTGAGGTCATCCCTGAGAAAGCAGGCATTCAAGAGATGTGCTCTCCTGGCAGTTTACTAGGGGCAGAGCAGAAGAGATGCATGGTGGGAAGACAAAGGTTTGCATAGCTCCCTGCAGCCGTGGTAAGCTGGGAAATGCATCTCCATTCTTGCAGTCTGGCTCCAAACCCTCCAGGAGGGAGGATCTGTATGAATTCCTCTAAGAGTCAAGATACTTAAAAAGTAGCAAAAGAACTTACATGCTCATTTGAAACAACAAACAAACTTTAAAACAGGTACTTTTTAAAAATTACTTCCCACTGCTGTTTAAAAGTATCAGTACTTTTAAGAAATAACAGGTGTTAGCCGTGGATCACACCTTTAATCCCAGCACTTAGGAGGAAGAGACAGGTGGATCTCTGAGTTCCAGGACAGTCAGGGCTATACAGAGAAACTCTGCCTCAATGTTTGCCCCCCAGTGAATAAAGATAGAACAGGTGTTAGTTCAAGCATTCCTTATAACAACATCACAAACATCATAATCCACAATGCCCAAATGGCATTTAAGGCAGAGAGTGGTAAAGTCTCTCACCCATAGGCACAAGGAGAATGACAGAGGGAGCTGATAAATGAGCCCAGGCAGTTTATATTTATAATAATGACATCAAATCACCTGTCCATCCTTGTATTCTATGTGAAATGTTAAAAAAAAATCAGATTTCTAGGTCTCATCTCAGAACTTCTGATAGTCTATCTTTGGCCATGGTCCCAAGGAGTCTATGCTGTTAGCCTGTTTCTAGTAGTTTCCTCCTTGTGGATCTATAGACCAGCACTGGTGAAGAGAAGGTACTAAGAACAGTCTGGGCTCTTTTTCTTTTTTCTTTTCTTTCAGATTTTATTTATGTGCATATGTGACTTTATGTGCACTGTGTGTGTGTGTGTCATTGGAGGCCAAAAGGTGACAAATCCCCTAGAACTGGAGCTACAGTTAGTTGTTAGCTGTCTGATGTGGGTGCTGGGAACAGAGCCTGGGTTGTCTGCAACACAATGACTACTCCTAACCACTGAGCCATCTCTCTAGTCCCCCTGGAGCCTTTTCCAATTGTGAGTAGAGCTTAAGACATTCAGAACCGGCCATTAAGTAAACCCAGAGGTTGCCTGGAAGCATATGCAGACAGGTGTAAGCTGTGCCTGTGTTTTGTGCTGAGTAAAAATATTCAGAACCAGATAACAAAGACATAAAGATCCCCCAAGGAAAGATACAGATCTGAGATGTTGCCCTAACCACACTGGGCCAGAGAGAGTGGTGGCTAGAACCAAATTTACTTACAGGGCGTAAAACCAATTTTCTAAGATAGGTGTACCTGTTTCATAAAATTGAATTGTTAATTTGCCTAGCACTTAGTAACAATGATAACGGCTACAGAAAAGATTCAGGTTCTTTCTTCTTTCTTCTCTTATTGTGGATCTAAGATCATGCATTCAACCCACACACTAAAAAAGAAAGTGACTTCACCGACTTACTTTAACGTAAACACCTGAGGCATAAGTTAAAGTCCACATATAAATGAGTACTGGTCTCCTCCGTGGACAACACTGGGCGGGTATTACTGTCATGTTCCTTGACTCATAGTGAATCAGAGCATTTCGTTTATCCCATTTACACTGACTACTAACACAAACAAATATTGGCTTCCTGGATCTCTATGGCAATTATTAAAAGCCAGGAAAGATGTGCATTTGTTTAATGAAAAGGAATTCAATGTTAGTGAATCATTTTTGAAACACACTTCTAAATTTCCTTACCATTGTCTTTTAATTTTTTTTGTCCTCCCTTTTCAAAGCCTTCCATCTTGTAGCTTTTATTTATGCCTTTAGCTTGCAAAATTCTGCTTAATGATGAAAATAAAAAAGATGAACAACTGAATGAGGAACAGAAAATGAAGAGACCATGAATGGAAGCACCTTTCTTTTTCTGTGTAGTTTGTATTCTTAAAATGCTCAGGCCGGGGCCTTTCCCACACTACTGATAATACACTGAGACAATAGGGCCAAGGTAGCTTTTACAGGAGCCAATGGTGAGCCAGAGGTCAGAGTGAAAACCAACTCTCGGCTAGTTTACCAATCAGATGGTTATTAGAGTTGGTTCACTGGCAATCGTCGTCTTCTCCAAGAAGAAGATGACTTCACTAAGCAAACAAGGACCTGATGGTGTCTCAGTGGACAAGCATGCTTGGTGTGTAAGCCCCGTGAGCTGAGGCTGATCCTTTGAATCTGCAGAAAAAAGGCAGGCATGATGGCCTGCACCTGTGATTCCATGGTTAGATGGGAGGTGGAGACAGAAGAATCTTCCAGAAGCTCAAGGACCAGATAGTCTGCTGGACAAAGCAGGGCGGAAACAAGAGAGACCCTGCTAACAAAGGGAATTGACTCAGAAAAGTTAGCCTCTGACCTCCAGTACAACCCCAGGGGCAAGTGTCTCCTTGTGCAATTACAGCGCAAATAAAAACAAAAGAATAATAAGTAAATACCTACTCTTTTAAATGCAAATGGAAACTTTGGGAGGATTTTGATCCCTGTTTTACACCAGCTCCTCTGAAGGATTCAGATGCTCTGCCTGTTGGCCTGCAGTCTAGTCTCCTGCCTGAGCTCAAGCTGCACCCTATTTCCTCTTCTCTTTATCAAAGCAGGTATTGTGTATTCCAGTTTCCAGTTTCATTTGTTCCTGCCCACATCATGAAGGTCTCTGTCATTATCGCCAATGTACACATGTTTAATGCCAAATGCCCGAGGCAGTATCAAGCCCCAAAACTCTCTGGTTCTTCCTGTTCAACCTTTTAAAATCCCACAGCACGTCCCTTTCCATTACTGTTTCCTGGTTCAGACGTCTGGGCTGTGTTTCCTGGGAGACATCATTTGAGTTGTGTTTGGGCATTGAGGATTTACATTTGATAAGGTGGGAGTGTTTCCTAAGTCTTGGGCTGAGTCTTTTCTCTAACCATCTCAAAGCTGCCTTTGGCTCTCATCTCAAATGTGGTCCAAGAAGTCCCGTAGGAAGGGCTGTAATGCTGAAAAGTAGAACCACCCTTAATAAGTACATAAAACCTGCACAGTAAGATGATTGAGCAACAAAAGTCACTGGAAGAATGAGCAAATGACTCTAATTAGTGCCATGTACATAGTCAAATCAGTGGTCTATTGCATTCTTCCTTTTGTTGGTTTTCAGATATCTCCAGTCACTGTTGGGGTGAACATCTTCTGGCACATCTGGAAAATCTGGTTAGTTCTTCCCCTCCATTTTCCTTCTCCCCCTTCTTTCCTTCCTCCTATCATTTTATGGTACAGGGAAGTGAGCCCTTGTATATGACCAAGAAATGCTCTCCACCAAGTGAGAACCTCAGTTTTGAGAGAGTATTTGTTTCCTATCCAATATACACATAGTAGCAAGGTTCAATGCACTCCAGAGTTAAGAGGTCCTGGCAGCTTCCAGTTCATTGTTTCCAAGGTCAAAGGACATATAATTCTCATCTCAATTAAAATGTAGTCAAGGTTTCATGCTCTAAGATTTTTCTAGTGCAATGATTTATTTCAAAGCTGTTTCTGTTCATGTCTTGATTTGGGGGCATTTTTCTTATGACTTGTTGACATTCTAATCTCTGTGTTATTCTCTAGTTCTCTGAGTATGGCTTCCGGAGTTGACTGGAGGGAGAGGAGAGCCAGGGAGAGTGAGCGACTTTGGGTGTGCTATGCCGCATGTGGGCATGGAAATGCACAGTGAGGTGTGGATGGAGCCGGGTGGGAGTGGCCGGGCTGGTACCTGTGTGACAGAGAAGATGCCAGGCTTCTTGTGGCCATTCCTGCTCATACTTGTCCCATCCCTGCAGGTCCAGGTGCTCCATGCTTCTTTTCCCCTCTTCCAAACCTGCTCTGGGCAACGTGCTGCATCCAGGAAACCTTCAGCTGCTGCCTAAGCAAAGTGTGGCTAGACTGGTCCCCACCTAGCAGAACTGCTCTGCTCCAGGTGGAGAAGAGTCCAGAAACTCTGTCTCCATGTTGCCATTGTTTTCAAAGATAAGTCTTAATGTCCTAAAAATTAGAAGTTCGCAAACTGGCAAACGATCCAAAGGCACCCAGCTCTCCAACCACGGGCACTTGTGAAAGTTCCTCTGCCCAGCCCTCCAGGGCTGTCTTTCACAGGACTCTGTTGTTTATATTACTATTCATAACTTGACCACATTTTGTTAAATTTCCTGTTCAAAATTTTATCTATTTTGAGTAGGGACATTTCCGTATTCACTTTTGTTATATTTGACTTGCGAAGAAAAATCTAAACCACTCATGCTAAGATGTAAGGAGCCGGTATTTGCTTGCGATGCCTCTGCTTCCTTCCGCAATCTGAACACACAGCTACAGGAGGGGTTCGGTGAATGACAGTATTTCTAATTAGAGAAATGCTCATGCCAGAGTGTTAAATAGCAAATGCAGATCAGGTTCAACAGGGTATGTGACACCATATGAGCCAGATAAGGGCATTTGCTTTTTTCCACAAAAAGATTACTTCTCGGGGCTGCAGAGATGGCTCAGAGGTTAGGAGTACTGGCTGCTCTTCCAGAGGTCCTGAGTTCAATTCCTAGCAACCACATGGTGGCTCACAACCATCCATAACAAGATATGGTGCCCTCTTCTGGCTTGCAGGGATATGTGCAGACAGAACACTGTATACATAAAAAAATAAATAAATTAAAAAAAGATTACTTCTCTTTCTTTTATTGAAAAGATTTTTTTCATACAATTCATTTTGATTATGGTTTCCCCTCATTCTACTCCTCCCAATTCCTCCCATCTTTTTAGGAAAAAAATAAACAGGCAGCTAGAGAATAATAATAAAGTAAAATACAGTACAATAAATTAAATAAAAAATAAACCAAACAAGTCAAAATATGACAAAACAGCCAGACAAGAAAAAGAGCTGAAATAAAAGCACAGGAATTGCAGACATGTGTGTGTGTGTGTGTGTGTGTATGCGCACACATGTGTGCACGTGTGCATGTGAATGCTCTAATGCACACACAAACACACACATAGACACATACACACACACACACTGGAAGCAAAGGACCTGTAAGGTTAAAACACACAACAACAACAAAAAACACCCTGACTTAATTAACATTATGAGTCAAGGAATTCTAAAGGTGCTGTTGAGTTTATTTGAGTTAGCCATCTACTTCTGGGCATGAGGCCTGTTCCTGGTTTGTTTCTCCAGTGGCACTCCTTTGGAGAAAACTAATGTTTCATCTATAAGTGGCTGTCAGTTGTGTAGGGCCCCTGGGTTAGGGACAGGAGAGTGTGTCCACTTCTCTCGTCTGGTGCAGACCCGTGTAGGCCCTGGGCATGCTGCCTCGCTCTTTGTGAGCCCATGTGTGCACTAGCCCTGCTGCGTCTAGAAGACCCTGATTCTGTGGTGTCCTCCATCCCCTCTGCCTCTTACATTCATTCCGACTCCTCTTCAGCAGAGTTCCTGGAGCCCTGAGGGGAGGGATTTGATGGAGAAATCTGTTTTAGATCTGAGTGTTCCAAGATCTCTCACCCTCTCTGCATTATGTCTGGCTGTGGGTTTCTGCATTTGTTCCCATCTGCTGGGGGGGAGGGTCTTCTCTGATGATGACTAAGTAAGGCATTGACCTTTGAGTACAGCAGAATGTCATTAGGAGTCATTTTGTTGTTGTGTTCCTTTAGCAGAACAGTAGTACTTGGTTTTCCCCTAGGTCCCTGGCCTATCCAGTCTCAGGTTCTTCAGCACCTTAGAGAAGAAAGAGGGTGTCACTGTCCCTTTGAGATGTTCCATGGTGATTTGCATTATGTAATGCTGTGCTTCTTTGAAATGTGAAATATTATTTGGGGGAGAGACAGGAGCCCAAAATGACCTCAGGAAACCACAAACCTGAGGCCTGGGAGATGACTCAGTTGACAAAGTATATGTTGTATATACATGAGGAGTCCTGGCATCCAAGTAAAAGCCTGGAGGGAGAGAGAGAGAGAGAGAGAGAGAGAGAGAGAGAGAGAGAGAGAGAGAGAGAGAGAGATTGAGAATTCCAGGCCATTCTGGGCTGCACAGTGAGATGAGAGAGAGACATACAGAGAGAGAGAGAGAGAGAAAGACAGAGACAGAGACAGAGACAGAGACAGAGAGACAGAGAGACAGAGACAGAGAGACAGAGAGAGACAGAGAGAGAGAGAGACAGAGAGAGAGACAGAGACAGAGACAGAGACAGAGACACAGAGAGAGAGACAGAGAGACACTGAGATACATAGAGATACAGAGACAAACAGACACACAGAGAGACAGATATACAGAGTGGTGAGAAAGTAAATTCCTATACTGTTTAATCTACTCAGTCTGTAGAATATTGTTATACCAGACCCAGCCAAGTGATTACAAAGATAGAATAGTCCTTGGGTGGTCCTCGGGTGCTCCTTGAGTGATCTAAAGCAGGAGACACACTGCACACAAGGTGCTCTCTGGTGAAGTCTAAGTCAGCCCTTCCATGTCATTTAGAGTTTCAGGCTGTAAGGTTGAAAGACACACATCTCTGGACAGTTTGAAGGCACACACTGCAAGGAAGGTCTTCAGTGTGTCTGAAGACTTTCCTTCTTAAAAGAAAAGTTGTGTGTGTGTGTGTGTGTGTGTGTGTATCTGTCTGCCTGTGTCTGTGTGTCTGTGCATGTACATATGCCACAGTGTACATATGAAGGTCAGAGGACAACTCTCAGGAATTGGTTCTTTCCTTCCATCATGTGGGTTCCAGGGATCGAACTCAGACTGTCAGGCTTGGTGGCAGGTTCCTGCACCTGCTAAACCATTTTATCAGGCTTGGAGTGTCCCCCCCCCCCCGTCTTCAACAGTCTCATGATAAACTTAGTAAAGGGGGTTACTAGGATGCTGATTTGGGGAGGAGTCTTGTGAAGGGAGAGATACTTATGGCTGTCACTCCTCTCCCTCTGAAGCAGCCCCAGAGAGCCGACTTAAGTTTATAAGAAGTGGTGAAGTGTGTTGGCTCCTCAGAGAAGCCTGGGATTGCATCATGATGGCTGGAGGGTTGAGCCACTGAGAACCTTCTTTTGACCTCTTAGTGTTTGCAACATTTGATCAGAAGCTTTCAGCTTTGAATATAGAGGATGTGGTGCAATTGGGGAAGGAAATAGATGGAGAACCGACAGAACAAAACAGCCCGGGCACAGAGCAGGGAAACAGAATGCATTGATGCTTCCCTCACTTCGTACCCCTGGCTCTGCAAGGTGTGACTGTAACTCCGGTGTTCTGATTTGTCAGCTCTTGGCTTGAGCGCCGATGAAAGGACACTTTGGCAGCGGTATAACAAGTGGAATTGCATCTAGGAAGCTCCTGCCTTTGCAGCCAGGTTAAATGTGTCCTTCTGTGCGACTCCTTTCCTGCCCACTCCCTGTCTCATCTTCTGTCTCCTGGAATCCTCCCGCTACCATGGCAGCTTGTCCTCCCACACCCTCAGGGATCTAACAGCTTCTGGAACTAACTTGCTTCTTCTCAGGAGGCTGGTGGGGAGTGAAAGTAAAAGTTTCAAGACTCACCTGCAGTCCCAGAACATAAAGGTGGAGGTGAGAAGATCAGAAATTCATGGTCAGTCTTAGCTACACAACAAAGCTAGCCTGGGCTACATGAGACTGTCTCAGAAAAAAACAAAAACAACACAAAACAAGAAGAATAAAAAAAAAACACAAAACCAAAACCCCACAACGCTCTAGTGACTGACTGCTTTGCTCATTTGGGCTTCAGCTTTAATCCCAGTATCTGTCTCTGGGTTTTTATTATTCGAGCTACAGTGTGCTGGTCCAAGTGCTGGGAGGTCTTCCCCTCTCCTCTAATGTAGGAAACTCAGCACTCCACATCCTACAAGTGTTGACAGGACCATCTATAAACTAGACTCAGGCTCAGCCCCACCCTATACACAAAGCAAACATCTGATGAGGGAGCCAAAGTGTGGACTTTACATTATAATGGCAAAGACAGCGGGAGCAACTGAACCTTCCACAAATGGGGTTGGTTAAGTAGGGTGTATAGAGTGGAATAATGCACACAAAAATACTCCATTTTTAAGTGGTGTTATGAAGTAAGCACTCAGTGAGAGGAATGGATTTGTTGTTGAAAGGTTAATTGAAAACATACAAGATAGAAAAACAACTGTTATCTCTGAGAAAGGGAATTACAGGATATTAGCTTTCTTCCTTCTACTTAACTATTTTAATTGTAGACTATGAACACGTTTTAGTTGTGTAATACGTCATTAAAATAAAGCCTTTGAGTAGGAAAACCACCACAAGCAACCTTCCTTACAAGTGAGTGTGGAGTAGCACTTCCAGAGTTCTAAGACCAGTGGCATGGTTTCATTGCCTTTGCTTGCAACAGGGAGTATTCAGCAGGGAGGGGGGACATTTTCCATAGAGAAGTGCTTAGAGTCCTTTTGACAGGATGTAAAGCATGAAAAGGTGCTTTTCAAGGTTTTAGCCAAATTCAGTTATTAATAAAATGCTTAATTCTAGTTAGATAACATTTTGGTTCATTACAGTATATATGTATCTTCAGATTAATTGTGCATATATTTTTATTTGTATACACACACATATATAATATATAATTAAGATTTAGAGAATAGGGCCTGGTGAGATGGCATACAAGAGGGGAGTGATGGGCTCTCCCATTCTCACACCCTCAGGGCTAACTCACCTGTGCTGGTAGATTTTCTAAAGCTAAAACCAGCTGACCCTGGGCTTTTTTGTTGGCAAACTTTTAGTGACTGCCTCTATTTCCTTAGGGGTTATAAGTCTACTTAAATTGTTTATATGATCTTGATTTAACTTTGGTAAGTGTTACCTATCAAGAGAATTATCCATTTCTTTTAGACCTTCACTTTGGTGGAGTACAGGTTTTTAGAGTATGTCCTTATGATTCTCTGGGTTTCCTTAGTGTCTGTTGTTATGTCCCCCTTTTCTTTTCTGATTTTGTTAATTGGCTAAGAAATACTTGAAGAAATGTTCAACATTCTTAGCCATCAGGGAAATGTAAATCATAACTATTTTGAGATTCTATCTTGCACCTGTCAGACTGGCTAAGATCAGAAACACAGTGATGCTTCGTACAGACAAGGATGTGGAGCAAGGGAAACACTTCTCCATTGCTAGTGGGAATGCAAACTTGTACAGCCGCTATGGAAATCAATATGGCGGTTCCTCAGAAAGTTGGGAATTGATCTACCTCCAGACGCAGCTGCAGCACTGTTGACCACATACCCAAAGGATGCTCCATCCTACCACAATGATGCTTGCCCAACAATGTTCATGAGGCTTTATTCATAATAGTCACAAACTGAAACAACCCAGGTGTCTCTCAACAGAAGAATAGATAAAAACAATTATGGTACATTTACACAGAGGAGCATTACTCAGTTGTTTTTTTTTTTTTTTTAAAGTTTGCAGGTAAGTGGATGGAGCTAGAAAAAAAATCATCCTGAGTGAGGTAGCCCAGACCCAGAAAGATAAATATAGTACATATTCACTTATAAGGGGATATTAGTCATTAAGTAAATGATAACCAAGCTACAATCCATAG